ATAATTACCTTTGCTTATCTTCTTGTTTCTCTTATTTGTCACAAAAACAACGACCCAAATTTGTATATAACAGATTAAGCGACTATTTAATTAAGCCTTTTGATAACCTTTTTCTTCTTCATTATGCGCCTGTTGGCATTGAGAAGAAGAACTGAAGGAAGGAGCTACAACCACAGAAGAATAAACTTTACAACTACCAAATGAAAGTGCACAAAGCTTATTATTCCTATCCTCATCGTGATCACCATGATCTTGACCAGAAGTAGCAGCACCGCTCGATGAACAGACTATAGTTTCTTCGACAAGCGTATCAAAATCGATTCCTCTCATTTGGCTTCGATCCCACAGATTAGCCTTTGCGCTCGACACACTATTTAGAGACGATGATCTTGCATGGTTCTTCATGATTGCATGCTGAAGAAGCTGATAAAGCCTCGGATTCTTTCTCAAGATGCTGCAGTTTTCTTCATGTGTATTCAAGATGTGACATGATGGAAAGTTGGTTTTTGCATTCCTGCCTCTTAGGAGCCTAGCAGCCTTATCGTACGCCAACGCCGCCTCCTCTTCCCGATCGAAAGTCCCTAACCACAGTCTCAGCTTCTGTGAGGAGTCCTTGATCTCAGCTACCCATCTTCCTGATGGTCTTTGTCTCACTCCTAGAAACCTTTTTCCATTTTTGCTACCTTTTCTCGTGTTTTTCTCTTTGTTTTCTTGGAAAGTTTGTGTTTGGATAGCTTGGGACATTGAGGATGAGTCCATTAGATCAGTTGGAGATCACATGGGTTTGGGGTTATAGCTTTAGGCTGTGGATGAAAGAGAAGGCATTTATGCGTTATTATAGTAATATGGTGAGTGCTGTAAGAATGATGACAGGGATCATGGCATGTTGATATTGTCTCATCAGGGTTTGTTTGTTTACTAAATAAGAGATATGATAATACTAAATTAATCAGGGAATGCAGAACTCTCAAGAATAATTGCATATTCTTAATAAGGTTCTTCACAAATAAGTTGCTCAAAACTCTCAGTCACATTCAAAAACACTCAAAGTTCAGGAACCTAACTGTTATTACACGATAGTTGAAGGGCTTTTTGCCTATATTTTGATTCTTTCTCACTAACATTAACGGTTGTTAGGGGTTACACTAATTAAGTAATATTAATAATGTTAATCATTTAGAAAACGTCAAGAGAAGTGTTGATAAGCATTTGTGTTTTGTTTTTCTTCTAATTACTATTATTTTATTATGCAAGACATGGAGTTTTGTATGGAAAGGCATGCATTCGAAGCTATATATATATATATATCCGATATCGTACTTATTTGACCAGAGATTATAAGTTGTATAAATAAAGCGACTTTTTTTTTTCTCTTTTCTAATGACTATAGGTGCAAGCAAGCTTAGTTCCGAATAATTAAAGTCAGTTCTTGAGTTTTTGAGCAGGAGAATTAGCATCAGTTGCTATCAAATAATGAATAAATATAAATTTTTGGTGTTATCATCCAAGTAATTGTCATAGCTGGAGTGAAAAGAAATTTAAAATTTTGGTTATAATTAAACATTTAATTTGGGAATTGTTATTGACATTCCAAAAATCTCATTTTACACTCCAAACTTTTTATAATAAGAAAGAAAAATACACTTGTGAGGAGTGTAGAATGAGATTTGTGGAGTGCTATCTTTTGTATAAATCAATCGACTTCAATGTCATGTTAAGAAATTTGTTGTAATATGACTTATATGGGGCTTGCAATTTCTTGCATTACCTGTTAATCCGACAAGAAACGGCACATAAATAATTAATAGGTTTCAAGTCAACCAGTTAACGAGTCAGGTCGTTATCGAGTCACCTATTAAGAACCCGTTAGGATTGTTATCAGATCATACATTCAGAATCCGTTAAGATAACAGGTATAACACGTAAACAACACGAACACGACCGTTTGTCAAGTTTAGGCATTATGCATGACAATTTCTTATATAACAATTATTACAACACGAAACGACACGACTCATAATGAGTGGGGCCGTTATTGGGTTACTTATTAAGAATTCTTTAAAATAACATGTTCTGACATGACACATACCGAATATAACAGGTATACCACAAACACGACAAATATGACTCAATTGCCAAATCTACTTTCGTCCAGAGTAAATTAGTAACAACAAATAACGTGTTAAAGTAAGACCACCATGCAGGTAGCTTGATTCCTAAGGTTTGGTAGAGCAGAAAAGGTTGAAGATGATTTAGACGTCTCCCACATGAATGGGGTTGCACACATTAATTGACACGGGTCCAAATTCATACATCACGCAAATCTTAGGGTTAGATTACTATATCAACATCGTGCCAGAGTGAGGATCTGGGATGGAATATTTGGCTCAAGTAGTTGCAGAAACGTACAAACCAATGAGGTGTCGACAGAATTATACAAGATCGCGATTAGTATATAATTAAGCTCACTGTTAACCTAATTAGGGAATACTTCAAGTTAGTATGCCTCCAATTACCAGGAAACAAAAAAGACACCTCAAAAGACCAAAATCCAAAGAGCCACAGTGTTTGATTCTAATTTATATTCACACTGCCAATATACTCGAAATTAAAAAGACCAAAAGTTTGGCACTTGTCACATAAACAATGCATAAGCTCTCTGCTTCTTTTGGTTTTATTTTTATTCAAAATTTGAATATATCCCTGCGGAGAATTGTTGTCTTCTGAAAAATAATCTGAATCTTCAGCTTTATTGTTGGATTCTTAGCGTACTTTGTCACTCTAGGAAAGAATTTTTAGGTTTCACCGAATGTGTATAATGTGTTTATTTTTTTCTCAAATAAAACTTTAGGTGTTATTAATTGTATATAATTATGTATCTATTTTCGCATCATGTGTGGTATGATTAGCCATGTAATGTTTCTTTTGTACTTGAGAATATAGTAGTAATGGTCTCTTAATTTATCAAAACGAGCAGTTCCTTTAATCAACTTTATCAGAACTTTCGTCAAAATGAGTCATGGTGTAAAGACCACGTGTGTGGTACGTGATTTATTTTGATGAAAATTCTAACAAAGTTGACGAAAAGTACCATGGTTGCACGTCTTGATGAGTTAAGGGGCTAATAGTCACACATTTTAAGTTAATGGACCATTATTCCAATTAGGTTAAAATTGAGGACTATTTCTACAATTTCCTCTTTATAATTCCTTACATTAGGATTAAAAGCTACCGAATCTCCGTCTACACAAACAGATTATTGATAAAATTCCAAAATGAACTTTTCTTTTGACCCAATTTTTTTCTCCATATCAGGAAAGACAAGAACCACTCTCCCTCTATCTCAAGCTTTGCTTCATTTGAAGACGTGGTTTAGGACACATAGATTTTGGTGCTAAATTTACAAGGTTCACCTCAATTTTGAAAATTAGCTAACTTCTGCAACTATAAGTATTGAAAACTCGATCTTCGGAATTATTATGGTAGATTAGCCTCGTTTTGTATGGTTGGAAGTTTGCAACCATAAAACTGATCCTTTACATACATACATACATCTGAGTTGATAGTTTACACATGAGTTCTAGTTCTTCAACTTTCCATTTTGTAGCCCAATAACAGCAAGTATTGGCATTGCTATCTTCCTCAACTTCTCCAATGTGGATTTGGCAACTTATAAGAATGCACACTGCATGTATCTTTAACTTAGCCATTTCTATCCAATCCTAGCGATCAAACAAGGCATTTGAGTTTGTGGTTTTATTTTCTTTTCATATTTAGTAAATCTATTACCATTGGTCCCTCAACTCATCAAAACGTGCAGCTATGGTCCCTTAACTTTAATTCAACTGGAGAATTTGTCTCTTAACTTTAACCGAATTGTAGCAATGGTCCTTCCAACATAACTCATTTTGACAAAAATTTTGACGTAGTTAACGAAAAGGACCATAATTACACACTTTGATGAGTTGAGAGACCCTAATTATATAAATGGTTATTCCAACATAACTTATTTTGACAAAATTTTGACGAAATTGATGAAAAAGACTATAGCTACACATTTTGATAAGTTGAGGTACCAATGGTAATGGGTTTTTAGTTGAGGGACCATTGCTCCAATTTGATTAAAGTTGAAGGACCATTGCTACAATTTACTCGTATTTTTATGCACAATTGAAAAAAGTCTATGAAGAAAAAAATTAATTAGTTATATCAAAATATTTTCAACATATTTTTTAAGAGATGGCCGAACAATACTCATACACATTTTGCGCAAGGGTGGAGCTATCTAAGGCCCAGAGGGGGCATCCGCCCCCACTCAGATTTTTGGGTGATGAAAAAAATTGTCATGCCAATTAAAACAACAATTAAATTTTTGATTTTGGTTCCGAATATTCCACGTTTTCTAACCTAAATCAAACTCAATTGAACTGGGGTTTCATAAATAGCTTGGATTCAACCGATGAAGTATCATAACTTGATATAAAAATTTTACTGCAAAGTATTTTATATGAATTTACTTCATCCATTCGTGACATTACAATTTAAAATTTAACTTTTTAATTTAGAGATTTTTCATTGTATCTGACCCTCAACAACTTAACACCCATTATTTTACTTGGTTGTTTTAGGACGCCCCCAGTCAAAAACATTTCTAGCTCCGTCCTTGATTTTGCAAGTATTATAATACCGAGTATTTATTAATATTAACCAAAATTTAACACCTAATTTCATAAATGTCATATTTTATAAAAACTTTTCAAATAGAGCAAAAAACTCATGTGAATAGTCCTAAATACCCATGAAATAAAAAACATTTGAATAGATCTACTCTACACCGTTAAACATTTGAATAGATTTACTTTATCGAAAAATCACAATTTTACATTAAAAAATCAAACCTGGTATTATTTATTTTACCATTTATTTTATCTTTATCCTTAAAACTTAAAATTTTCAAACCATTTTTTTTAGTTTTCTTAAAGAAATGCAGACAAAAGACACTCATCATCTGCCACTCAGACTAAGTGGGAGAGGTGGCAACGATGGCGGTGGAGATGGCCATCAGAGCTTCCGCCACCCCAAGACCCTCCCTGCCTCCACCCAAACTTTCTCTCAAGCCACCCAAATTTAGACCCACCTCTGTTTCCCTACCAACATCAACCACAATCTCCCTTTTAGGCCTTTTCACCTCCCCCATTGAAGCCAAAGCTTTCAGCCTCTCCAAGGACCAGATTGTCTCATCACTCACTGAAGAAAGAACTGTATAAAGTTGTTTTCTTTGAATTGGGTTTGCCGCCAATTGTTCAAACTTCAAAGTTCTGATCTTTCTGGTTTTGTTGCATGAATTGGCCGGTGGAGCAGACGATATTGATCAGATGCAGCAAGTGGGTTCGACAGTTTTCGACGGCACGGCGCATGTTCTGGAATCTGTTCTGAATGCAGTGAAGCCCGGCATTGATGCGGCGTTGCCGATTGGGAAACAGGCCGGAGAGCAGGCGCTGAAGATTGCTTCTCCGGCAAGATTGCCCAAGAAGCAATCCATGGCTCTGGGGTTGACATACAGACTGTACTCAGTGCTGCAAAGGTTTTTACTTCAACAATTCAGTTGCTACTTGCAATAATCTATCCGCAATTTATTAAAAAGCTCAATGAATTGCTTGTTTTCAGAGCATAACTACACATGCAATCAGAAGGTGGTTCGAACTTCGAATTGAGATTTGATTTCGGGTACCTGACTATTGGATATCTATAAGCAATGCAATTTTCGTTTCTAAGACCTAGTAATTTTTCAAATGTAGTTGTTTTCTCTTTGTATAAGAGATATTAAGGGAGGGGGGAATTCGAACTCGGACCTTGGATGCAAAGGAGAATGCTCTTAACCAACTGAGTTACAGACGCCACTAAATGTCGTTGCTTTAGGTTCATAATGTCAGTGAATGTTTTGGTGAACTTTCGATTTCACGTGCATGATTGTTTTTAAAATACTTACAAGGTGTGTAGTGTTCATTTCCTGAAACTTGAAAATTTTAGGAAATGTAGTTGTTTGAGGTTCACTACGTCAGGATATAGTTTCATAAATATAATGTAGCTGGAAGCAGTCTCATTCATCGCTAGTAGAGCATTGACGCACTTCCATATAAATTTAGGTGAACAAATTGTAAGGTAGACTTGTGTACAAAGTATTCTGTTTACTCAAATTAAATACGCTGACTGAACGATCGATTTGGTCTCAGACGGTAGCTGATGCAGCAGGGCAGACCACCGAAGCAGTTGAAGAGGCCAAGCCCCTTGCATCATCAACTATCCAGACCATCTCATCTGCAGATCCTATTGTCATTGCGGGAACTGCTGGAGCTTTATTCCTCGCATACCTCCTTCTTCCTCCCATCTGGTCTGCCCTCTCTTTTAGCCTCCGTGTCCGTGGTTATCAAGGTATATAAGCTTATTACGAAATGGAATTGCTTCATGTCTGTAAAAGGGTACACATATTTGAAACAACAATAAACAGTGATATATCCTGCTTGAAATAGCTTGTAGAACTGCATTTATGCACCATATCGATTAGTTTCAAATTCGAGTACTTACATTAAGAAGATATAAAGCTGATTGAGATTGCAAGTTTTGGTTCAGATGGACTAAATATGCTATGGTTTTGTGTTGTACTAACTCTAGGTTCGCTTACTCCTGCTTATATCAACAAAGAATTACCTTCTGATAGATATTCGACCAGAGAAGGACAAGGACAAGGCTGGCATTCCCCGCCTACCATCGAGTGCTGAAAGCAAAATGATTGCCATTCCGTGAGTAACTTCTCCCCGGCATCCTCAACCCTCTAATTTGTACCCTTTCTGCATCCCATTTATGAACTCTTCGTCGCCTCTAATATTTTTTTCCATCCAGTTTGGAAGAACTACCGAACAAATTGAGAGGCCTTGTCAGAAACGCGAAGAAAGTAGAGGCAGAGATAGCAGCTCTCAAGATTTCTTACCTCAAGAGAGTTAACAAAGGCTCCAGCATCGTGATCCTGGACTCGTGAGTTCTTTCGTATTAAGCTCCAACTCTTAAAATTTACTACCGGATCATATTAAGTAGCTAAATTACGACATCACTTTCGTTCTTGTTTTTGTTTCGCGTAAATAGGTAGTCGGATTCAGGAAAAATAGTTGCAAGAGCACTAACCCGTCTAGGCTTTAAGAACTGTTGGACAGTAGCAGATGGGTCCTCAGGAAGCAAGGGATGGTTACAGAGCCGTTTAGACACAGATTCGTACAATTCATCTTTCGCCGAGGTCATTTCGCCGTCAAGAGTCGTCCCAGCAGCGGTGAGACGTTTTGGCACAACCAGCACATCCGCAGAGTCTGGTCGAAAGCTTCTTCCTGGATCCGACTGAGTAGCTTCTAAATCATTTCTTGTGTGATTCTTTGATGGATGTTAGTTGGTCTATTTTGTAATTCAATTCTGACCTCTATATATTCTAGTTTTTTTTATACAAACGATATTGATGAAGAAGAGGAATCGAACTCAGAACTTCGGGTGCAAGAAAAATACTTTTAATCATAGGAGATGTAAATCGATCGGAGCGTGTAATAATTTTTATACTAACGAAGGCGCAAAGCTGATTTTTGGGTGTTAAGTGACACTTTTTTTTTTTTTTAAACAATCGATATTATCTAAGAACTAAGGGGAGGGGGCAACGCTTAGCTTTATAATGGACTAGCAATAATGTGGTTTAAATTTGCATTTGGCGAGAATCAAACATAAGACCTCTCACTTACAAGTGAAGAGGAATACCACTAGACTATAGTACTTAGTAACTAAGCTACCGTTTGGTACGTGGGATGGGATCGAACGGAGTGGGACGAGGCGTTCCGTTTCATGTTTGGTGCGCCTAAAACGGGTGGAACGCGTTGTTCCACGGGACGAATTTTGGGTGAATTTTCGTTCCGCCTCACTCCCTAGAATGACTTGTTCCACATCCGTGGAACACAAAATTATAACCTCTCCGTCTCCTTCTTCTTCCTCCTAGTTTCCATCCGAATGCATCTTTGCTCCCTCTCCGTTTCGTCCCGTTCTGTCTCGTCCCATTCCGTTCCGTCTCGTTCCATCTGCATACCAAACGATACCTAAATGACACATTTTTAGTTACAAGAAGTAAAATGAGACTAAAATTGAGATTCGAGGGCATTGATGTAAATAAGCCAAAAAGGGGTGCGCACTGCGCATAGTAATACAAAGGTAGTTGGGGTCGGCCTACTCTGTTGACATACACAAGGCAGCGGATATCGTTATTCCTCTTCCATCCCCAGCCACCACCAAAAGCCCCGTTTGAGTTGCAGCTTCGGAGGCTGTTTCCATGACGTCAAACCACCATTCGGATTAGGGTTTTCTCCGTTCGCAGACTTCCCCCAGAAAAAAAATAAAATCATGGCCTCCGTCTCCGTCTCCTCCCCCAATTTCACCACCACTTTCCTCGGCCCCAAACTGTACTCTCTCTCTCCTCTCTCTCTCCTCTCTTTCCTCTCTGTTGATATGTATATATATGTTATTATATCTATTGATTTGTCTATTTTCTTGCAGTAAATTTCTCGAAAATTCGAAGAAGCTGCGAACTTGTTTCTCCGTTGTACGAGCTCCTAGATGTGCTGCTGCTGCTGATACATCTTATGGAGGTAAAGTTCATTTCAAACTTTCTCCAAGTGAAAGTTTTTAGCTCTTTTTATTGTAATTTGGGGAATTTCTGTTATTCATTTGTTGCCTGATTTCACTGTTCAAGACTCAGAATTTAGATTGTAGGATGGGGCAGATTTGTGGCACCAATTTTTTTACACAACTTTTGACATGTTTTTGCAGTGCCCACCTTGTAATGTATTTTAACGATTTGAACCGTCTTTTGTAGTAAGGATAAAAGACACAAACTTTTGCTTCTGCTAGTTGAAATTTAGTTGATTGCAATTAGCAAGCAAAGTTTTTGTGAGCATCGAAATTCAAGTAGTTGTGTCTGTCACTCCGCTCTTTTTCGTCCCTCGGATGGATTGGCAGCTATCCATTGTGCTATGTGGTGAATGATTAAAACGCGAGCTTGAAGGATAACTCTTTTTTATTATACCCGACCCTTAGAACTTACATTGGATATGTAGTACCAGTGCTTAGTGGTTTAATATATCTGCCTTGAGAGTTCCTCCAGGATAAGTGGATGGCTCCCCTTTGCTCATTTCCCTTTGTTGCCTCTGTAGGTAATGCTCCAAAATTCCCTAGAATCAGTGTTTGGGATCCGTATAAACGTCTTGGTGTGACCTATGATGCGTCTGAGGAAGAAATTTGGGGATCGCGCAATTTTCTCTTGCAACAGTATGCTGGACATGAAAGAAGCGAAGAATCAATTGAAGCTGCTTTTGAGAAAATCTTGATGACCAGCTTCCAGCAGAGGAAGAAAACAAAAATTAATCTGAAGAGCAAGTTAAAAAAGACGGTTGAAGAGTCTCCGCCTTGGGTTAAGAACTTGCTCAATTTTGTGGAAGTTCCTCCTGTTGAAGTTATCTTTAGAAGATTGTTCCTCTTTACGTTCATGGGTGGCTGGAGTATCATGAACTCAGCTGAAGGTGGACCTGCATTTCAGGTTTGTTCCAAATTTTCTGTTGTGATTGACAATGCTCGAATGGCCTTTTATCTTTTAATCACACCTGATGCCATTTTTATCATTTTCTGTTATCCAAGTGAAGCCCTCGGTCATAGTAATTGAATGCGTAGGCTAATATCGGCTTGTCCTTAGTGCATCCTTTATCGGAAGCATCGATTTAAAACTTGTTTTATTTGTGACTGATTTGTGCAAGTTAGGGGCGGAGCTTTACTCTCTAGTTAGACATTGGTTTTTTCGCTATGCTATTCTTAGATATCCGTTAAGCCTTTCATGAAACATCTTCGTTTGTTCACAATGTGGATGATATCTTTGATTGAGTTGCTCTCGTCATATGATGAGCCCCAACACTTTGGAATAGAATATGGTAGTGGCATTGTGGCAGTCTCTTTGTGAAGCATGCCTTGCTGACACATTTAGACTTTAGATAGTCCTTTCTCGACGTACATAGCAAATGCCTACCTTCTTTTGCTGAATCCAACATTGGAATCTTTATGTTGTTTTTCTCCTGTATCTCCATCCTTCCATGCTTTTCTATCATAGATTCATACTAGTAAATGCACCCTTCCCCGTTGTTGATATTTGATTAAAACACTATAATTTGCATATAAGTACGCAGAAAATAGATTACGCAGTTGGTGCCCCTGTTTTTGGAACTTGCAATCAATCGAAATGTTTGTTACTACAGGTGGCGGTATCCTTGGCAGCGTGCATCTATTTCCTCAACGAGAAGACAAAGAGCTTGGCCAGAGCTTCCATTTTTGGGTAAGTTTGGACAGTAGCCATAGTTGTCTACCTTCTTCCCTCACTCTTCTCGTTACTTACACATTGCTGCCATTGCAGACTTGGAGCTCTTGTCACTGGTTGGGTATGCGGTTCGGTTTTGGTCCCGAATATTCCATCAATGCTGTTACACCCGACTTGGACCCTCGAACTTGCGACCTCACTCGTGGTATATCTGTTCTTGTTTCTTGCTTGTACCTTCCTCAAGTAGTAGAACTCAAATTATTTTGTCAGGTTTCCATCGGTTAGAATTCACATTTTTCTGGTAGTTGTGAACTGAGCCAAAGCTTGTATGCTTCGTTTTAATGAATTACGGGTACGCCACTTCAATTTACTCCCTAACGCTAGATTTGACCCAATTTCATCCAATTTTTCGTCAACTGGCGTCTTGTCTTGTGAGAGACATGCGATTCACTTTTGAGGATAAACCCGTCTATCCAGTATCCACCTTCCATCTCTTTTTCATCCGAGAAAGGGAAAGCCGGGATACAAGACGGTAAATAACCTACTGGGCCGGGTCTTGTTATATCGGGTCCGAATATGGGCTGACTTGGTCTACTAATTGGAGAGTGAAATCCATTATCATGAGCCATAAAGAAAATAGACGGTGTGGATAGCATCAAAATGGTTGCCACATAAAAACGGACGGTGTGGATAGCATCATAATATGAGTTCGCATACCAATCTACGAACTCTTACCCTGAACTATAAGGGATAAATTAGATTGCACGTCCCTAACAACTAAGGAATGTGTATTGTTCGTTTAACTGCCTACTACGAAAATTAATCGAGTTTTGTTCGTAAGAAATCAAACCGTTAAAATCATCGAAATTCAGGAATAACAATATTGATTGCATTCGACGAATTTTTTTTATTTATTTTCCCATATCTCACCGATATAGGGGAGAGGTTTGGATTTTACCCCTTTTCCATATCGATAGTTGATTTCTTTTATTTTGCGTACGCATCAAATTAAACAGACTCAAGCATGTACTAATTAAGTAATTAACTAATCAAATAAGTACTTAAAACCAATGTAAACAACAACACTACACGCACCTAGATAGCTAGGATCAATCCTACACGATGATAAACAACATCTGAAGTAACTAAAACAATTGAATTAGTTTGAACTAATACTACAGCTGGGATGGATTATCTATCATAATTAAGCTAATCAAATCAAGCGCCGCCTCTAAATTTGTTGTAAGTACTGAAGCGATTGTTCTTGGTAGCACAGCAGCCGACGCAGTAGATGAGAATCACCAGTACAATAACACACCCGTTAAATATGGCCAAGTTCCTCCACTGCTTCCTGATGTTTGCCAGCACTCCTCCCTTGCACGACTCGCACTCGTAGCACAGCTTCTTCTGCTCGTTGCTCCACGTTTTGCAGTCGCTGTCTCCGACCGCCGGCCCTTTTTTCGGAACTTCCCAGAACGTCGCGTTCTTGTACTCGAATCCGCAGTAGGACGGCGGCTTGCAGCAACCAGACTGATCATCGTATAAACATTTGATTAGTTAGTCCAAATTTTATGAGCAAAAATCATTGATTAATAACACATCAGTACGTAACTCAACGTAGACGCTCAAACCCTAACAGCGCATGCAGTCCAAAATGTAAACCAAAATCCAAATTAATTTTTTCATTCAACAAACGACGTACGCTATTGTCGTTGTATTACTAAAATAAATACAAATCACGACTTTTAAATTGATAATATATGTGAAGCAAAGACATAAAAAAAAAAAGAAATTTAGTTACTCATTTATTTGATTATATGGTCGGACTCAAACTCTATAATAATTTATGGAGTTAATTTTGGAGTAATAGACCAAAATAAATAAACAAATCCAAAAACAAAATGGTGATTAATTAATAAACATTTTGTAACAATTTTGTAAATATGGATGTAAAATAAAAACGACTAAACCCCTTTTTAACCTAATTAAATCTTACCACAGTTTTCTGCAGGCCATAAATATTACTCTAATTATTTTTGACAAATGATAGGCAACTTTACTCTAAATTCTATAAAATTAGAGAGAAGCGGATTCGCAAAACAATCACTAATCTAATTAACTTCAATAGTGACCCAGTGACACTACTGATATATTTTTTTTGGTCGCGAATATATGTGTGTATATATATACGTATTGAATCAGACCCAAAATTATATAATTAAATAATTAAGTTATTAATAAATTAAAATTAAAAATCGAGAAAAATAACCAACCTGTATAGGAGACAAGTTTTTCTTGTAGAATTCGGCCTGGGATTCATGAACGTCGCCGCCAAGACTCTTGCAAATCTGCGCATCGATCAAGCAACTCTTGATGGGACCCCAGTTCTTATCATTCACCACGTAATGCTGCATCCAGTGCGAGAAGTCTCCGCTCTTGTACTCCTTGTACCCTCTCCCGGAAACCACCTGCCCTATCCCCTTGTTCGTCACGAGAATGGCGAACACGGTGAACACGATGAGCCCGATGATGACCACGAAGACAACGATTAAGTAGATGTAGAGGAGAGAGTTGAGTCGGCAGCAGGAGCCGGTGAGCCCTAGAAGGGACACCACGCAGAAGAAGACGCCGCCGATGATGAGCGGAGTTTGGAGAACTTTTTGGCAGTGGGTGCCGCCGTGGATTTGGAAGTAGATCCCGGCCCCGATGGAGGCGAGGCCGAGGAGGAGGAAGAGAAAGTTTAAGATCCCCACCACCGCGTTGCTTACGCGAAACATTGTTGGTAATGGTATTCTGAAAACTAAAAACGAAATGATGGAAAACAAGAAACCCTAATTCTCGATTCGCCGGTGCTTTGTTTCTTTTGAAAACTGAAAACGAAACAATAAAACGAGAAACGAAGAGAGGCAGAGACTGAGAGGCAAGGGAAAGGAGGACTCGTTTTTTGTGTGTATGCTTATCTGTTTAAGTAACTGTTTTATAGGAGTTTAATACGACGTAAACGGTTGCAATTTTTGGTTTTTTTTAATTTTGAATGGGCGTCTCCGAATGGGACTCGGTTTTCGAATTATTTACGGATTTGGGATTCTCACGTTGTATTCGAGTCGGAGGCAACACGTGTCGAGGCGATAAATAGGACACGTCGTGTTTACCGTTGCGGTTAACCCTGGGAGTCCAAAATTTGAAAAGGATGTGTAAAACTGAGTCATGCACGTAGTGAAGAACGCCTGCTGTTTAGAGGGAGACGGTTTGATAGTGCGACGTGAACCAACGTGGAAATTTCAAATATTTTTTACATAATTATTTTCTATGCATAAATGAAAGTAAATTTTTGTTTATATTAGACATTTTTGTATATTTGGTGGTGTGGTCAGGATTCGAATGTTGGGAGCCTTAGTGTTAAAGGTTCAAGTTTTTAATAGATACAGAGCATGAAGCAACAATAACAAAAGTGACATGTACGTGCCAAATATTTGAAAGGTCATCGGAAGACCTTTACATATATATCTCTCATACTCCAGGTGATCTTGGGAATCTAGGATCACCTTGGTCCCATTGTACATCCGCCACTGATGGTTAGAGTATCCTCTATTACTTTTGGGACTTGGATTATCAGGGGTGAAAAGAAAGCAAGAGTTAGTAAAAAATCTAAAGTACACAACTCGTTTTATGTAGGTTTCTCTTGAGGTAGCAGATAAAGTATTTTTCTCTTGGAGAAATTTTGTTTATTTTATCCTTAGTTTCAAAGAGAGATAATTACAAATTTACCCTCATTATATTGGGTTGTGTGTGGCCCATAAGCTGATTAATGCCTTACCAACTTCTCCTTCGGTTTGGGCTCAAAAGTCCAAATTTAGTTGTGCGGGACCCAAAATTTTCGAAGTAGTTAAACGGACCCCGCATGCCACCTCAGCACAGAAACCCACGCGCACACGCACGTGACGCACAGCCCTCTACCTTCCCCTCTCAAAGCTGGCTGCTTCAGTCTCAACGGCCAAACGACACCACCAACCAACCAACCAACCAACCCACATTATATTCATCGCCTCCTCGACGGATTTTCCCACACTTTCTCACCACTTTAAATCTCTCTCCCCCAAAACTTTCTCACCCTCCAAACACTTTTCTCTCTCTAAAACTCTCTCTCTCTCTCTCTCGAAATTTAAACATGGCTCTAGCTACCCAGCCCACCACTAACCTCCTCCAAAACCCCTTCCTCTCCTCCAAACCCCAACCCAGACCCCAGCAGCTCCCCACGGCCGTCCCCTGCCCGGCCCGGCGTCGTTCAGGCTCCGTCCAATGCTCCGTCGCCGTCGCGCCCGCCGCGGCCTCCAAGGTCTCCAAGGAGTACAAGGTCAAGTCGGTGAAGGCGAGGCAGATCATTGATAGCAGGGGCAATCCGACCGTCGAGGTTGATCTGGTCACCGACGATCTGTATCGATCGGCCGTGCCCAGTGGCGCCTCTACCGGAATCTACGAGGCGTTGGAGCTCAGGGACGGTGACAAGGCGGTCTACGGCGGGAAAGGTGTGCTCACTGCTGTGAAGAATATCAATGAGATTTTGGGACCCAAGCTCATTGGCGTCGATGTCAGGTTAATTAAGCTTAATTATTTTTGTTTAATCACTCTTATAGTTAACCCATTTCTTAATTCTGTTTAGTAATAGTTTAGCAATAGATGTTAGAAAAAGTTCACAAATTTTGGTAAAGTTAAAGAAAAATTTACTAAGGGACCGTTAGGAAGCCCATCGGGGACTTCTATCGTAAGCACTTATGCTCATAAGTGCTCTTGCTCCAAGTGATTTTGTTAGAAGCATGTCGGAATCTTCACTAAAAATTCAAGTGCTTTTCAAGAAAGCACAGGGATTTGCCCCTTCAAACGGTGTCTGAAGCATTTTTGGCTGCCTGAAAGCACTTTTAGCCATTCCAGAAGCTGTTTGATTATGTTTATATGAATTGTTGAGGCGTATTTGCTGTGTGAAGTTCTGAAATTTTTGCTCTTCGTTTCATTTTTCCAAGAAATCAAAATGAGGTCGATGCACTTATGCTGGAAATCGATGGAACCCCAAACAAGTCGAAACTGGGGGCCAATGCCATTTTGGGAGTATCTCTGAGCGTGTGTAGAGCGGGAGCAGGAGCAAAGGGAGTGCCATTGTACAAGCACATCCAGGAAGTGTCGGGAATAAAGGAGCTCGTTATGCCTGTCCCGGCTTTCAATGTGATCAATGGAGGCAGCCATGCTGGAAATAATCTGGCAATGCAGGAGTTTATGATCCTGCCTGTGGGTGCATCCTCGTTCGCTGAGGCACTCCGCATGGGTAGTGAAGGTTAGTCAGATTTCTTATTCATTTTCGGCCTATGACCGCTTGACTTGTTATCGATTAACTGAGTTTTCAGCGTCTTTTGTATTTGCACGGAACAGTTTACCATACACTAAAGGGAATTATCAAGGCAAAATATGGACAGGATGCTTGCAATGTTGGAGATGAAGGGGGGTTTGCTCCCAATGTGCAGGATAACAGGGAGGGACTGGTTTTGCTCATTGATGCTATCGAAAAGGCTGGTTACACCGGAAAGGTAGGACCGTAGTAGGCGTTGGCATTCTTTATCTCTTGCAAATGAACTTACAGAAATATGTTATGTGGACTCACAGCAATGTCAACGATGCAGATCAAAATCGGAATGGATGTTGCAGCCTCGGAATTTCTCACTAAAGAAGGGAAATACGATCTCAACTTTAAGAAACAACCAAATGACGGAGCCCATGTGCTCTCTCCTCCGAACCTTGGCGAGCTGTACAAGGAGTTCATTAAGGAATTCCCGATTGTGTCCATTGAAGATCCATTCGACCAAGACGATTGGAGCTCGTGGTCTTCACTTCAGTCTTCTGTCGATATCCAACTCGTCGGAGATGACTTGTTGGTCACAAATCCAACAAAAATTGCTGAAGCCATTCAGAAGAAGGCATGCAATGGCTTACTTCTAAAGGCGAGCATATTTGATTGCAGTTGTTTTCCAATAAATGGTATCAACCTTGTGATTTGAGTATCTTGATGAGCTCATTTTCTTCCTCTGAATTGCAGGTCAACCAGATTGGCACAATAACTGAATCTATTCAGGCAGCACTCGATGCGAAAGCTGCAGGTTGGGGTGTCATGGTCAGCCACCGGAGTGGAGAAACTGAAGATAACTTTATCGCTGATCTTTCCGTTGGCTTGGCCAGTGGACAGGTTTGTTGGCTAATTTCTATAACTATGCTATCGATCATTCGACTTCATTTGTACACGAAGTTGACGGATTTCATTTTGTTCCGTATAGATCAAGACCGGAGCTCCCTGCCGGAGTGAGCGGTTGGCCAAGTATAATCAGGTAAAAACTGGAACAATTCCGTTCCCCCAACACCATCAACTTATGACTTGTTTTCCTGAAGGTGTACAAAGCATTTGAATTGAAGAGTGACTGAAATTCTCTCTTCATCTGTGTTTTGATTTGGATGCAGCTTCTGCGTATTGAAGAGGAACTCGGCAATGTGCGTTATGCTGGCGAAGCTTTCAGATCTCCGTAAGCTTCGAAATTTTTACTAGATCATTCATTCAAGTCATCTAAGCATCCATCCAATTCAGATTTCCTGGAAAATCTACACAAATTCTTATAGAGGTTATCAAGTTAGGTGTCTTTAGGGTAGTTCCATGTGCCGAATTCTGGGCACAAGACACCGGGCTTCTTCGTCTTCAATCCAAACATCTCGGTCAATAAAGAAGTTGCTGGTCTCGATCAATCATCTTCATGAGTTTATATGGAACCGGTCGAACGACAGGCATCCAGTTCGACTTTGTAGTTCTTGTGTGGCATTGTAATGTAATGCACTGTATCATATTTCAACTTGTCGACTAAATCTTGAAATGTTTTAGAGGCACAACATCATTTACCTTTGAAAGCGTTTTTGAGTTCCCAAATCGCTTTGTCATTTCAACGACAGCATTAACCATCGGAGGAGTGTCCTGTGATGTGTTTTCGAGTGTGGACGTGACCATGTTTGAATGACACAACAAAGCATCACGAACATAAACTCAAAGAGAGCTTCACTAATCACTAATATTAATCAAGATCCTTTGATGCATTCATAATAACTGCGGTAGCAAATTGCAATCATCACAATCACAACTTTGCCGAGTTAGTTAATGAAGAAGGCTAACACAAGCAAGCAAGGAGGGGGACTACGGGATGACTTGACTCAATAAACTTGACATCATCGTCTAACAACACGCTCTTTTCTCAATTCGCTTCTTGGTGCCTTAGGTACCTCGTTGTTAGCCTTCTGTGGCCAACCGCAATGGAATGCCTTTTCTAGGGTTTCAAAGCCAAACCAAACACAATAAGAAGCATGGGCTCATTTAGTGATCATCACTAACGATACTGGTAAGAGTTAAACCTGAATAGACGGGCCTGTGTAATTTCCCGAGCGCATATAAAGATTATGTGGTTCTGTCTCAGCAAGCCATGCATACTCCTCTTCTCTACCATCCTTTAATTTAATTCCGTTTTCTGTAGCTGCAGTTTTCAGCAGACCGCAAAACTCATCAGTTTTTCTATTCATGCGGATTAAGTTCACGAAGGAAAGAAAACGCTAAGTAGAAATCAAAGTTACTTACCTAAGGCAGTATAAGGGTAATCACGGTAGTAGGTACATTTTCTGCCTGCATCTTCTCTGTAAGGAGGAGTGAGAATGTCAAGAACAGCACAAGGAGTGACTGCCGTGAAATTATGCAGATTGCCCCCACTCCTTGGATACAAAACTGATGTCCCACATGGTGGTGTTAAAACCTTGTCAACTGCCAGCTTCGCCAATCTTACTACATTGGAGAGCAATTTCATAATCTCATTAGTTCTCCCGTATTTAAGCCCTCGAAGTATGACAATCATGAGCATCGCATACGGTTGTATATCTCTCATGAAACCTAGCTTCTTAAAATCACTACAACCGCCATTTGTAACCCTAGAAACTCAGATCATTCACCATGCTCACTGTCTACTATATTTTCGTATCAAATAAAGGACAATCAGAAACGACAGTAGAAACTCTGATCATTCGACGTGCTCAATGTATATTGATAATCATCGTTGTAAGTACGTACTGAAAATTACATGAAAAAGCAGACCTGGAAAGTAATTTGGTCCCTTTATCTCCTGGGCAGGCTCAACCCAATCATAAGATCTCACGTGCAAAGAGCCATAAAGAACTTTGCTAAAAACAGTCATCCCAGGATGGTCATGAAGCGGAATGACTGAGGAAGTAGGAAAACAGAATATACACATCTGCATAAAATCATTTGCTCAAAGTGAGAGTATAAACTTCAGAGAGCTTCAAATATAACGAAGAACCTAAATTCCTTATCGAATGGTAAGTTATAATGCTTACCGTAAAACTATCACCTTCATACATATCCAAGTACGTTATTGGTTGAGCACACCGAGAAACTTTTTTTAGTTGGTCAAGTCCAACAAAACCAAGCCCTCGATCATCATCCTGATTTTCCTCTTTAAGCCCAACATCAGTAGGAGACATCGCATCTGTGAATTCAAAAGAATATCAGAAAATTAAGACAAATACTATCATATGGTGTATCCATAACGTATAGGAACGGGGAAATTATATTTGAGACATTGAGCATCCTGGTCTTCTATTTGTTATGAAGGAACTGAAACTGTCATCACCTTTGAGTTAGGCCTCAAGATCTTTCGGGTTCATGCACGTTTTTAGCAGGAATCCAATTAGTGTGCATAAAAGACACGTATTTATTAACACAACGTATGCGACAACAGAAGACAAAGGCAAAGACATTATTGTCAATTAATTAACCAATGAGACATTCCACATTCCTTATGTAAACTAAACCAAGCTGCTTCCTGTTCCACATACACCGGTCTATGCAAATCTATATCATTGGTAGCGTCGGTCTCCAGTATCAATAAGCAACAATGCCCTATCAACCAAGTCTATATCATCAAAACAATAGCAACTTCGATGCAAATGGCGCGAAAACAAACGAAATGTGATTCTTGATCCAACCGGATTTCACCCCGATAAGCAATCCAGCAACAAAGTTAGCACTTTGGATTTAAAATCTTTCTTTTAGAGCTGAAATCGCACCTCCAAGACCAACAATGCACGCATTATATAACACAAACATGCTTTGCAGACAAATTCTCACTGCTAAATTATATATCAGATTCAATGCGGGACATTCCTCCATCAAGAGGTAAACTCGGTTAATTCTGAAAAAAGGTTACTCTGGACTGTAATTAGTGAAAAATTCTGTAAAGTCTTCCAATTCACCAAAACCCCACAAAATATATTACTCAATTCTTCAATTACACAACCAAAACAAGCAAACCCAATTTCAAAGTTCCAAACTTTTAATAAATTACGTATCGGATGAACAATTTAATTAAAAATTGAAAAAGAAGAACTTATGGGAAGGTACCGAGGACAGAACGGAGCTTATTGATAGCCGGAGAAGAAGGGGGAGGAGACCCTGACGGCGTGAATACCGTTTGGCAGAGCTCGTAGAGAGCCTGAACTTTCGAGCTCTTCCTCGCCATGCTTGTGTGGCTTCGAAACGCAGTAAAATTGGGTCCGTTTTTTTAAAAACGTCCGCATCTTTATCTGTTGCTTTCTGAAATTTTGGAAACATTCTGGTGGCCACTTACGAATTACAGAAAACTTTGGGAGCGAGAAAAGTTTGTGTTGCAGAATGTACAAAATGCAGGGCTCTTTTTGGGAAAGAGATCATTTTCGGATCCTTTCCATTTAATTCTCCTCATCAAACAATCTGAATCCTTGAAATTTAATCAAACAGCTAAAAACACGAGCCTACTTTAAACTTTATAATAACTTTAGCCGTTGAATCAAATTTCAAGGGTCCGAATTGTTTGATGAGGAAGATTAAGCGAAAGAATTCTCCCTTTCCCTCTTTTTGTTTCAGTGAGTTCAGTTCCTCTCAGGTTAAATTTGGTATTCCATTGTTGGTGTATTAAACTGTATTTCCGACACACTGAAAAAAATCTATCGTAAAAAGCAAGATAGTAGCACAATGCCAATGTGTGCAATATAATAAATAAATTAGCCAGCTCTCAGGTGCCTATTTGTGGAGAACACTAGCTTTCTTGTGTACTCAAGGATAAAGATCCACTCCAAATCTTTGTGTTTGTAATTCAAAGATCGAAACATACGAACCGTTTAAGAGAAAGAAAGAGATTTAAACCGTTCAAGTTTTAAAATTTTCGTAAAACAAACCAATTGGAGGCTGTATAATTAAAATATCGAATACTGCTTTTATTTTTCATATTTCGAAATTCAAGCCCTTCCCTTCCCGCTCTCCTCCGCCATTTCGGACATTTTGCGCGGGAAAATCCCTAGTGCGAATCTGGAAATCGAGCTTCTCTGTGGAGTAATTGCGAGTGTTTCTGTGCATAGAGCTTGCGCGTGTCAAGAATGGAAGGCAGTGAAAGCGAGGCAGCTTTCAATTCGCTGAATCTGAATCCGCAGCTGTTCATCAACGACGTCTTAACGTCGCCGATGACTTGGTCGACGACGCTTTCGATCATTTCCACCAGTAAATCTCTTTCCAATGATCATACTTATTATTTGTTGTGGTGATTAATTTTATTATTATTTTTCTTATTAGATGTGAATTTTTGTAATTTATTACAAATTTTCTGGGTTTTTTTTTTCAGACAAGCATCAACCTTTCTGAAAACTGAGGGCACTGAGAGAGCCCAAGATCTATCCAGGGTATAATTCTAATTTCTACTCTTCATCTTTTTGTGTTTTGCCCCCAATTTGCTTAATTTCAATTTATTTCATAATTCCAAGGTTTCTCCTTTCACAAATTCTATGAACTTCTTTGTTTTGTTTTGTTTGAGTAGTCGTCAACACATTTGATTATTTTAAAACAAAAGAAAATCGATTGAGGATTACAAAAGAAACTCGAACCCATGACCTTTGGGTGACAAAGTAGCAATTTTTTTGTTGCGCCAAAGCTCACCCTCCAAAATGAAATTGATTGAGGATTATAATTTTCGTATAAGAAGGTGCAATCTTTTTCGTTAATCCCCTGTGGGGTTTACTTGTTTGTTTATTTGTTCGTTTATTCCTCTGTAGGGTGTTGATATCATCCGCAAAAAGGTTCAATCAGATCTTGATAAGAAGCTGGCCGTCTGGGAGCAGTACTGCCTGGACTACGTTTTTCGAGTTCCAGAGGGGTTCGACCCGGCCAAGGATATATGTTGTTATCAGTTCATTGATTCTTTCCGTTCTGTGAACTTGTTTAATTTATTGACCAAAGAAAGTTAATTTCTAGGATGAACCACCCGTCGACGCTTCTTTATGTCAAGATGCAGTAGTTGACGCAGACCTGGATGCCGAGCTGGATTTGTTGAGGAATGAACTTACTGAGGTAAATACGATACTGAAGTTGCAAGAATATATCTTGTCTGCATGAAATTGTGAATTCCTTGACGTCCTGATTGACATATCTTCGATGGAATACGTGCGCAGGTTGGTAAGGAGAATGCTGCGCTGAATCGAGAGATCCAATCGTTAGAAGGACAGTCTGCTTCGAGAGATCGTTGTTCTGCGCTTGTCAATGCGACCTTGCAACAATATGAACTAAACTCTTACCATGAGATGTTCCAGGGTAAGTAACTAAATGCTTCCTCCAAATATGTATAAATTTACTGTTCTTTAGCACCCATTTTTAACTCATGATATTAGGAAACATGGATTTACATATTTCCCTATGCTTTTTTCCCCGTCTTGTGTCTGAAACCTTCGACGAAGTTACTATGTTTAAATGTTTGTACAATATAATGGAAGACCTGGTGCAAAACCGAGCGCAATGGTGTTCTAGGATTCATACAGCCGACTCCACTTAATGCCAGCATTAGTAATCTGTCCTGGAAATTTGAACTTTCTAGCTGCTAGGTTGCTGATAGACCTGGCATTTTTCACCCGACCCGTTAAAATTAGTATTTGGATGGGTGATAAACGGGTCGGGTGATTAAACCGTTAATCACCCGTTAAATAACGAGTCATTGTGGGTGAACCCGCGAAACCCGTTAACCACCCATTAAGACCCGTTTGTTGAGGACTTTTGTGTAATTTCAACAGAAAACCCTCAGGGCTCAGGTTCCTCACGTCTCCAAAAGTCCTCAACAAACGAGTCTTAACGGGTGGTTAACGGGTTTCGCGGGTTCACCCAAAATGACTCGTTATTTAACGGGTTGACCCGTTAACCACACGACCCGTTTATCACCCACCCGAATACTAATTTTAATGAGTCGGGTGAAAAATGTCAAGTCTACTTGTAAGTTGGACTTCGTTTTAGGGCGTTGGAGTTCCAATTTTGGTAACACGATACTCTGTTTTGCAGGCTTCTCGAATGCTAAGTTGGAAGATCTTCAAGCGTTTATAGCCCATATGAAAAACATGTGAGCTTCTCTGGTACGAAGTTGGAAGATCTTGAAGAATTTTTAGTCAATGTGAAAAACTTGTGAACTTTTATGTGTGATTTCGTCAGTCTCGGAAGATCTTGACGGATTCGAATTTTACGCAAAAACTGTGAACTATAACTCACGATTTTTTTTCGAGTTCGGGTGAATCTACAAAACCACCGAAAAGCCGTTTTTGAAGGTAGGATGCATCCCCAAAACTTTCTTATTCCCGTTTATGTCTGCAGCCATCCGATCCGGTATGATAAACAAAATTCCGGAATCGGCGAACTACAAGTGAATCGTAATTAGTCATATGATACTCTCCGTTTTGTCGAGCCCTGCTTTGGTCTCTGGTTTGCAGACTAAATAAAAGAGGACGAAAAAGTACGTGTAAAATAAATGAGTAAACTTCCAACTCTCTTTTAACATTCAATCTACTACCGCACTCTGTAGAGTCACCCGAAAAATTTGATGGTAAACCGAAACAAAACACGATGATGCAAAACCGGTAGCCATCCGTACCCAAAAAATGAATAAGAGATCTCTACTCAACGTTACGGTTTGGCAACAAATAGTAGCTTGTATGAAAATATGAATGCATCTTACAATCGGTGTTTTTAGATAAACACCATACGCGACTTGAGTTTAATAAAAGTGGAAATCCAGAGAAGAAAACTGACATTCGTATTCCCCCTTGTGGTTTACTGAATTTGTATTAATCCTTCGTGCAGAAGAATGACTATGTCTTTTAGAGTAGTCAGCTGCAACTAGGTACCACACAAATGTACCTGCAATTTTACCGAGAATAAAAGTTACGAAAATGAGCACGGCAAAGCAGATGTGCATGCAAGAGAAGAAGAGAGGAAGATCTTAAAATAAAAAGGTATAAACCTATGCGAAGAATGAAAGACGAATCTTACATTTGTTGTTATAGAGACCTACAACAAGCTCTCAACGTTAAGTTCTACATAGGAGCACGGATCAGGAATGTCAAAGTTGGTTAGCACCTGAAAAGACCCAAAAATACACAATTAAGGTAGTAGAAATCGACTATCGATCATGATTAACTCAAAGCAGGAATGTGAAAGTTTATAGTGCAGTATCTAATCTGTAGCCTTGTCAAAAAACTTAGTTCCGATATGTACCTCAGGGTGTAAAATGCCAAAAATTCCAATGCGCTTCCCTTTATAGATGATGCTGGCTTGTCTCCCCGGAAGAAACTCGGGATCCTTCAGGACATGTCAAAATTGCACGTAAATCATCCGTACCAATCTAAAGAGCTAGCAAAAGACAAAATTAAAAGATATACTCACATCTGAAGTCTCAATGAAGTATCCTGTATTGTCACCAAGAGGAACAAAAGAAGCCCCAACCGCTTCCATAATTCTGTCCACCAGGCCATGTATCAACTGCAGATCAGAAAGCAAAGGTAAGCAATATGTAATTATTACTCGTAAATGTCACTAGGTTCTAACACAGGACAAACCAACAGTATGCACCAGGATGTTCGGTATTGTACCTCTAACCCAGACGTAGCACCGCAGTACAGAGCTGCTAGTTGGCAACGATTTCTTGCACCAACATCTGTCTTCTCATCCAATAGTACTATATCACCCACTTCGAAAATCTATAACAAAATAAAAAACAGATGAAAAGTTACAATGCAATGCGAGTTATATCCATCCTTGCTATAATTCCTTCAATAACTTATCAGAAAAGAAAAAAAAAAGTGCAACCCCAGAAGAGAAAATATATTGTAGAAGATAACTTTGTAACACATAAACCTTTATGGGCTTCGGATGATCTTTGTTGTTATTAACAGTTTTCAAAATGCCAGGCATCAGACTCGTTCTGACAAGCTCACAATCAGATGAGCGGGGATTACCAATGACCACAGCCTTTGATTTGTCATCTTTACATCTTAACATGGGGAAGTTTTCTTTCCACGAGCCCAATATGAATGTCAAGACCTCTGTAAACCCATTCATTGCAATCTAACACAAGTTTGAAGCAACACAAAAGAAATTAGAATAAGCCACACTTCCATTAAGTATAAGGTACAACTTAAAACTGTTATGTATCAACTGACAAATCTTTATTACAAACCTCTGATCTGATGAGTTCAGTGAACTCATTCAAGGCTAGTGGCTTCAAAGAAACAGGCTCGCTCGTTGGAATATGCTTTCTCATTGGAATATTATTGTATCCATAAGCAATTGCAACATCCTAAACACAAAAGAGTATACTTTGTCAAGAAAAAAGGGGAAAAGAGTTTTGGTTTATTAAGCCAGTGAGATTGCCACCATGACTAATTATACCTCCACAACATCACAAGGGTGAAGAATGTCACTTCTGGTTGGAGGTACAGATACAGTAATATTGTCAGATTTAGATTGCTCAGCATGCAATTGCATCCTCTTCAACAGACCAGTAACCTACACAATAATAAAGAATGATGAGAAAAGCAAAAGGATGCAGTATATCAACTAAATCTGCTATAGTTCATGAAAAGGGATGTTATGCAATCGATAACAGCATTATTCCTGCAACATATGATTACGCAAATAAAAACATTATTGGATGCAGTAAGCAATATTAAAGAATGAAAATGGAATAAGTAACATGCAGTTATTGATATACCTCTTTCGCTTCTAAAGATACTCCAGCATAACTATTGACATACGATAGAGAAACATCCATGTTGTAGATGGATAAATCAGGATAAACATGTGAGCTTCCATCAGAATATAACACTTCAACTGGTTCAATCTCAAATTTCTTTTCACAATATGCTGAAAATGCCGTTACCTAAAGGAAAAAGGTTATGCCATCGTCCACTGACACGTGAACCAAAAACTAGGAAATAAAAGCATTATAAAATTTCAGGTTCTTACTATTGTGTTCAGAACAATCTTGGCTTTTGTCAAATCAGTGGCTGTACATTCTACGAAAACACTCTTTGTCTTTAATGTGATTGCTGAATGTGCACCATTAATAATGGGCGGTAAAGACAAAACAGTTCTGCCAAAATAAACGGAATATCACTTATCAAGATTTAAAGAAATACAAAGCCATATATATATATAGTTATCAACACTATGTTACACAAGCAGTAATTGAAAAAATCCCAACAAAGTTAAGCTCTTTACAACTCTAGGAAAAGGGGAGGAGGTAGTTAAAAGATGATGAGAAATGTCAAAATAATTTATGTATGCGAAAGAAATTATCATACCTCTTGTGATCATATAAAACAGGAAACACAGGCGAGTTCTCTATTATGTGCAAGAACTTCTTCAGCTTCAAATCCGACTGCAAGAATACGATGGTAAAAACATGGATCACGATATTACTAGGTCATAGTAAAAAGGAAATTATGGAAAAGATTTGTGCAAATTAGCTATTATGGAAATGGTTTCTAAAATTCTATTTGCTGTTTGGTTTGGACAAACTATAACCCATCCCCAAAAAGGGGAAAAGGAAGATAAAATTAAGAACCAACCAGTTAGGAACTCACTTTATAAAATTCCATAAGCTCATCTGCTCTGAAGTTCTTCACCTAATGTAAAAATCAAAACAACATGATATTAGTGCTAACAAACTATTTAAAGAATTAGAGTTATTACTAAATTTACAACTAATTGACAATGTTATAAAATTTAAAGAATTACCTGTTTCAAAGGCACAAAATTTATGCTTGAAGGCGGCAAAGCCTGAACATGGAAAGAGAATTGTAAGCCACAAGTAGTATTGGATTGTGTATGTGAAAAAGTACAATTAATTAACAATCAAAGAAGGGCATGAAAATACTTTCATTGAAATGCATTCTGTACCAAGAAATCTTCGCTTAAGACAGAAATTTCTACTTTTAATTCCAAGAACCATAAGTTTCAATAAAGAATCTAAACCATTACCATAATTTTGCAATAAAATCCAAAACCAAATGAACCTTCATAAAAGAAATCCAGAATATAATAATGTAGCAAAGTGAACAAGTTTCAAAAGCTCACTTCATATGTGAAAGGGGCTTGTAATGTGTCCAAGTCATGAGTCCCAATGGCAACTAGGGTTCTTCGCCTGTAAAATAGACAAGAGGTGTAAACACTAGAGCTGAATAACCGCGGACGATCTTTGCACAAATGACCAGCATTAGCTCTTATCGTAAGTTGATGCATTCAGTCTGATTTGTCTTGCTATTCTTACGCTTCAAGCAACAACAACACAAAGCCTTTTCCCACTAAGTGGGGTCGAAATACTCTGATTCGTTTATACTCTTATCTTAATCTAGTTTAAACTTAGTCATCTGTTTCTATGATAAACTTGAAGTGATTTATATCCTAAGCCGCTCCAATACAGCATAGCAAGACGAGAAAAGAAACAGGGATTCATCAAAGGGTCTTTAAGATCAGATGGATTGGCCTAGTCCAAGAGATAGGCGTGGAACATAATACAAATGAGATTGGCGCAAATGAGAACATGCCAAACTAAATAAAAAAATCAAATCTATGAGTCATAAAAGATTACCGACAGAATCAAATCTATGAGTCAGAAAATATTACCGGCAGATATTTTGATGGAGCTTGTCTTGGAGATCGATGAAGCTGTTATAACTCGCTTCATCAAATGTTACACCTCTTAAAACAGCACAGACAACAAAGGGGCGAATGGAAGAAGTCTGCAAGTGGATAGACACCTTTGTAAGCTCAACAATATCACCATCAACTAAAACCACCTACAATATTCCTTTCGCGTAATATAACTACCTCTGATTTCACATGCATTTGAATCATCGACTCCTTACTAATGTTTGCCAACTTATATGTTGGAATGTCCTCCTGCCCATTGAAAACACGCAGCGATTGAGCAATCCCTTCGAGGCAAAGCAAATCGTATCTACATAAAAATCAAACAACAACATTGTATTAAAACCCATATGGAGTATGATAACACAAAAGACATCGATCCACAAAACCGATCCGATCAAGTGAATTCTCATTTCAAATACGTAATTCAACACAGAAATCGAAATCGAAAAATAACAATGTACCTATTCGCCGGAACTTCGATTTTGTAAATAACTTCTTCGTCTTCGTCGCCTTTGCCGCCTTCATCATCCAAATGTTTCTCCTTCCGAATAATTGCTTTCTCAGTTGTCTACAAACACACAATAATCACGATAAATCAGATAAATTAAGCAAAAATTAAATTAAATTAAACAAAGATTAGAGACTGTAAAAACTGCTTACGACGTCGTCGAGCTCGATGCCGAAGTCGAAGCATAACTCCTCGAACTCCTCCTGAGCTGTCAGATTCAAATTCAACACCGCAGAGAGAAAGTGTGAATTTCGGAATTCACAGGTAAATGCATCGATTAAATGAAGAGAGAGAGAGAGAGAGAGAGAGAGAGAGCTCACTGTATGTTTTTCCTAGAGCTGCATACAGACGATCGCGGCCGACGCTGACGGTAGGCATGGCGGACGTTTGAGGACTCTGAGTCTCCCTCCGATGATAGCTCTCAAGCAGAGACTGCCAGCACAAGAGAGATACGCAAAACCCTAAGCTTTGGACTTTTCCGATGGTATGCTTGTTTTTATTTTTCTTTGGGCCTACTGGATTATTTATATTGGGCCAAAAGTTGGGCCTTATGGGTGCCTCTATTGGGTTACGGCCCAAATTATGTCCATTGTTCGAGA